TCTTATTACCTTGCTAAAACAATGAGCAAATTGCAGAAGCTTTTCAGGGAAGATTATAAATAAGATCAGGGCAGGACGTGGGGTTCTCCATTCCCAGGGCTTTGGAGGCCTTCCAACTGATTATCCCTTTCTCTCTTTTCTCCAAAGACTGGGGCCTTTAAGAATGCACCATTTCCTGGAATTCTAGAACAAAAGAGATGAGAACAGGGTCAGTGAAGATGGCTCAGTACTTTACAGACCTGCTGTGGCCGATGAAAATTCTGGAGAGGGAAGGAAATACGAAGCAAATTGTCAAATGATGGGCATGGCCCCCTCAGAGGCCACAAAATGTGGGTGTCAATGACTGCAGGTCAAGGGAGTCTACAGTGTTCCATCCCTCTGCATAATCTTATTTGACAAACATCTTCAGCTTTGCAACGGAGACCCTTGTATTAGAACTTGTCAACCCAGTCATTTCCCTTGGACAGTGAATGAACTCAGTATAATTGCTTATCACAATCTGTGAACAATTAACTTTTTGTCTGATCAGTTTAAGACAGAAATGGGAGGTTTCCTTCTATTCTGTAGCTAGGTATTGAATTTTTAGAAAACATTTAATAGAGTGGGACTTTGAACTAGCTTTCCTCTGTTGAACCCTAACCCTACCCCCAAAAGTTCCTATTACTAAGAGAAGGATAATAATAATAATAATAATGTGTGAATGCTACAGATTGAAATTGAGAACTGGGGATTTACTTTATATTTATTGGAGAGCTTTGCCTGTTGGGAAGTCTTTCATGGTTATGTTTAAATAAGCCAATCCTCCTTTACCTAATCTACTTTTCTGAGCTATCTATAGAAGCTGCATTATCTCCAGTGTAGTAAGCGATAGTGGTATCATTTTGAATAAGTTTTAAAAATAAGGACCTAATGTAGCAGTTTTTAATTTCAAATTAGCTCTACCAGAAGGACTACCATACGTTCTCCTGAGTTGGCAGGCACAAAGTAGCTAAAAAGCATGCTAGCAACATGACAAAAATCGAGTGAAAATAGTCCTACAGCTGTGCTAGTATGCTAACGTTTGAATCTAGGACTCTGTACACAGAAGATTCCTAAATGATGATGGAGTTATTTGTTGTGTTTAATATTATCCACTTGGTGGGCTAATTGATGTCCAATAAATTTGTGTTTGTTTAAACCTTTGAAAGCTAGGAGGCCTTCCTACATAGGTCAATAGACTCTTTGGTCTGAGATACACTTGAGAATGTCATTCCTTCCCTTAGAGGGGATCAGATCGACTGGTGGAAATTCCTTATATTATGTTCAAGGTGCGTTAGGGTATCTTGCAAATAATTAGCCAGGTGGCTAGTCAGTCTTCTAGCCAGGTGAAGGATGTTTTCCAGTTATCAACAATGACCAGTGGGACCAGCTTTTATGGCATATCCCAGGCATCATGCCAGAGATTTTATACACATTTGCATGCTCACTTTAATCCCATTTTACACTAATTAGATTGAAGCTCAGCAAGGTTAAGAAAGGGGGATATTAACCCACATCTGTCTGATCCTATGGCTCAACCCCCATAGATGCTCCCTGGTCTAAGATGTGTTATGCCATGTACAGGTGTGGACATACCCTCAGCCCCAATCTTTCCATCGCCATCATTATCCGCAGCAGCCATCAAGGACTTGGTTTCTGACTCAGTCAATTCTCTAGCACCACTCTCAAACTTCTGGAGGAAAAACCTACAGGATAATAAAGATGGTTGAAAGACTATGCATCTCTGTGTTTACACTTTCTTTCTTTTATCTTTAAGTAAATCATCTCTTTCCACCAGGTGCAACCATCAGTCAAGGTCTTAGCAAGCAAAGGTTTCCTTAAGCTATAGAAACCAATGGTGGATGTTCTATGTTTTTGAAGAGTTTTTAGAAGTTTTGTTAAGTCTATTTTCCAAATGAAATCCCTTAAGCTAAAGAATCTTTGCACCGACAGGCTTAAGTGCCCATGTTTAGTGCTTTGCGTGGATAGATGTGTGGCCAACTGACTCATGTTCTTGCTTTAACGAGGCTTGGCCGAGTGATGAACACCAAGGCTGGCCATTGAAGAAATACTGAGCAAACTGGCCCCCACAGCACCCCAGCCCCACCCAACAATGTCAGGGGGTGTCAGACAGTCTCAGGACAAAGCTTACTTAAGCTCTTCTTCATCCAGGTATCCACTCTGGTCATTGTCTATGAACCGGAAAACATCCTTCACCTGACTGGCTGACATCTTGGAGAGGCCTGACGTCTGGAAGAATTTTTGGGGTTCAAAAGTATCTGGGTCTGAAGAACAGAGAATGGGTTATTCTGACAGTCATTGCATTGCATTCTGTATTTGGGCCAAAGTGTTGAAAACACAAATTATTTAAAAAATTTCCACAATATCCCTGAGCTACAGAGATGCTCAACTGGTCCAAGATTTTGAGTTGGCCAAGACTGGATGTCCCTGTGATAGCATCCCCCAGCCCCCTCTTCCCCAGCTTTCCTGCTCCACTTGATTTTGTCCATCTCTCTTCTCTCTCTTCCTCTTCCCCCCACCCAGTTTATAGACTGTGTATCCAAGTCCCCAACATCACTGGTCTAACTGGTGGGAGCAGATGCAATCACTAGATTCAAATAGGCTAAATGACATTTGCTGATTTCTTTTTTTTCACTTATAGTAAATTTCTTTCGTGTTATAGAAATGCAATGACATGCTCAGATCCCAAATCTCTAATTTTAGTTATCTAAATAATAGCAGTTTAATTCCCCGATTCCATAAATTTTCCAGCCAAGTTCACATTTTGATTTTTGTTGCTTTGCCAGAGGTGTGACGATGTGAGGAAAACCCACACTTGCTCCCACCTCCTTTACCTTGGCATTCCTGCAGGGCTGCTGCAATGTCATCAGCACTAAGCACGTCGGTGATGCTCATTTTCCACCTGGTCACACGGAATAAATGAGATGTGGTAAACGAAAAGCAGTGGGTATTATATCCTCCTAGGCTCAATGAAACTGTATGTGCATCTGGCATTTTTTTTGATATGATAAGCACAGTGTTGTACCAAGTGATGGAACCAAATATCCAAACACAAACCAGATACTGAAAAGGTCCCAGCACGCTTCGTCTCAGTGCCTTCTCCTGAAGTTACTCCAAAGATGAAATAAATACCACATACAGAACTATTTGATTTGGTTTTCTTATAAAAATTATATTTACATAATCGATCACTTAGGCAGCTACAAACCATTCAAAAGTAAACCATGTTACAAATGCAATAGCATTTTCATACAGCAGCCAGAGAGGTATGTTGCAAATTTCACACGAGAAAGGATACAGCTTGGGCTGCCTGCAGATCTTCTGTGGAAGACATGCTATCTGTCCTGAAGAGTGGGACTCAGAGGAATCAAAAGACCATCTACCAGAGATCAAAATCCTACTGGGTGTCAAAGCCATGGAGAAAAGAGAAATCTGAGCATATCAGGCACAAGCCTAGTATGAATGCACATTGGGAAGAAGAGCCTGGGATCTGGTAGGTCCACCAGCTACTCACCGTTTTAGATTTTCCCCTAAAGAAGAATCAGGGAAAAGAGTTGAAGGAGCAAAAAAATAGATGTGCTTTCGCTGCTTTACTGACCTGCCTTATATAGAATTGAAAAAGTGATAGTTACAACCTCTTAGATTTCCTTTTCAAGGATCAAGTGAATGTAGCTCAAATGTCTTGCCTTACTAATTAAACCTCTTTTTTTTTCTATTTATATCTCAGGGGAATGTGGGTGGGAACAGCCAATTTTAAAAAAGCAAACCTCAACAACCCTTAACTAAGGTTTCAATTCTGCAAACGAACCCCCTTGGCGGAGTGTGGAAAAGATACTAGAAGCCCGGTAAGGAGGAGGCAGTGGCTGAAATAGGATCAACACATATGGGGTGCTCTGTAAACTGAAAAGGCTCCCCAGATGTGAGTGGCCACCATTTGGGGAAGGTCTGTTTTCAGCTTTTGAAACTGTGCGTGTGCAAGGCTGAGTTCCGGTCAGAGCTGACACGCTCAAAGTCAGTGTCACTAAGTGGACACACAGGAATTGTCTAGCGAAGGAGATGGGACTGATCAGGTGATTTTCCCACAAAAGTCTTGACTTCAACATTTCCCAACTATAACTTAAATTATACATACTCAAAAGACAAAAAGGTGGAAACTCCCAACCCCAAAATTAGTATTTGTGGGGGAAAAAATGTTATGAGGCCAAGAGTCGAGACAAAGGTTTTTTTTTTTTGTCTTTTCTTGTCTTTTGTGGTTTTTTATTTTTTTGCTTTCAGCAAACATTTATTGAGCCCCTATGTGGCCAGTGCTGAGCTAGACTGTTTTTTCTATGGTGGTCAAAAACACATAAAATGTACCATCTTAACCATTTTTAAGTGTGCATACAGTATAATAGTGTTGACTATGTACACATTTATTGCACAACAGATCTGTATAACTAAATCATTTGGAAAAACTGAAACTCTACATCCATTGAACCTCAGTTCCCCTTTTGTCTCTCCCCTAGCACCTGGCACCCATCATTCTACTTTCTGTTTCTAAGAGTTTGACTATTTTAGGTAGCTCCTGTAAGTGGAATCGGGGCAATATTTATCTTTTGGTGACTTGCTCATTTCATTTAGCATCATGTAGTCAAGCTTCATCCATGGTGTAGCCTGTGACAAGATTTCCTTCTTTACTAAGCTGGATTTAAGTGTTTTTAAACATGCAAAAATAGATCCATGTTGCAATCAGAGACATGCAGTGGCTGAGAAGTAGACAATTCAGAAACTCTAGACCGGAGCCCAAGACTCTGCCCTGGGTAATGCAGCCTGGATGGTCATCTTCAGTTTGACCTCAAATATATTCCCCTCCCTCCACCCCAGCATTGGACGTCTCTTAGTGTCATCGATGAAAAGTTTCTCTCAGAGATACCTACGGCATTTCTTAAATGACCAATCCTCTGGCAGGCACCATATCTGTCTTGCTTACATTTTATACTCCAATGCCTAGCACAGGACTGATCTAGAGTTGGGCCCTCAGTAGTTATTTGATGAATGAATAAATAAAAACAGCAAAAAGAACTTGTAAACACTCTTCCCAACCAGCATCAATATGCCCAGCCCTTAAAAATGTTCCTAAGTCTCAAAAGTTTTGAATTCGGTTTCTGACATTCAGTTGCTATAGAAACCAGCTGAGCCCTTTCTTTGTGTGGAAGTGTTTGTGATCGCCCAGAGAGATGAAAACATATTTTAAAAATCTGCCCATTTAAATGAAAATAGCATATGGGTTAAACCAAGATACTTTAGACATTCATGCTGTTTTTCTGATGGAAAGTAAAGAAAACCAGAGACCCAGTAAACATATTGTCTGAATCAAAGAGCAGCCCAAGAGCATGATTTGAATTCCATCTTGTACAATCTGGGGTTCAAAATGTTTATTCACACAAAAGGACAAATACTGTGTGGTTCCCTAAAGAATCAATTGCAGATCTGCAAACATTCGGAGAGGTCTGAGCCCCTGTTGAGTTAAGACGGTTAAAAAGGTTAAGATGACTTTTTTTTTTTTGAGACAGAGTCTCACTCTGTCACCCTGGGTAGAGTGCAGTGGCATCAACATAGCTCACTGCAACCTCAAACTCCTGGGCTCAAGCTATCCTCTTTCCTCAGCCTCCTGAGTAGCTGGAACTACAGGTGCACACGACAACACCTGGCTAATTTTTCTATTATTAGTAGAGATGGGATCTTTTTTTTTTTTTTTTTTTTTTTGAGACAGAGTCTCACTCTGTTGCCTTGGCTCGAGTGAGTGCCGTGGCGTCAGCCTAGCTCACAGCAACCTCACACTCCTGGGCTCAAGCAATCCTACTGCCTCAGCCTCCCGAGTAGCTGGGACTACAGACATGCGCCACCATGCCCGGCTAATTTTTTCTATATAGATTTTTAGTTGTCCAAATAATTTCTTTCTATTTTTAGTAGAGACGGGGTCTTGCTCTTGCTCAGGCTGGTCTCGAACTCCTGACCTTGAGCGATCCACCCGCCTCGGCCTCCCAAAGTGCTAGGATTACAGGCGTGAGTCACCACGCCCAGCCTAGAGATGGGGTCTTGCTCTTGCTCAGGCTGATCTCGAACTCCTGAGCTCAAGCCCCCAGCCTCAGCTTCCCAGAGTGCTGGGATTACAGGTGTGAGCTACTATGCCTGGCCCAAGATGGTAAATTTTATGTTGTGTGTATATATGTGTATTTTATGTTGTATATTATGTATATTTGTGTTATGTAATGTACATGTATATTATGCATATATCAACAATTTAAAAGTATTGATTCAGTAATCTTCATCATTTTGGCCACCAAGGAAAGCGCACGAGGAAGATTTGGAAGGAGACCAGCTCTGTCCATTTGTAGCTGTGTGGTGCTGGGCCTCAGTTCCTCTTGTAGAAAGTAAAAATAATGTAAGCGCCTGCACTGTCACCTTCCCAGGAGGGTTCTTTTGAACATCATAGGATCATGTGCAGATCTGCAAACATTCGGAGAGGTCTCAGAGCTTGTGTTTCACCCCTGTCCAGGGATTACAAGAGGATTTCATCTGGTGTATCCATTCTACTCAATTAGTAGGGGCTTCCTGGAGTAGGAGGAATAGATGTTGGGATCAACTAGCAATGTCTGCAGGGATGATGAGTGGCAGCCTGGAAGCAGGGGAACTTGGCTATCTTGTCCTGACCTGGCTGGGCTGTGTATTTGGATTTTGCTACTGCCAATGGCGCTGGACTCTTGGACCACACTTCTGTTTGTGCTGTCCTGTTTAATTAGCTGTTCCAAATCCCCACTGTGCCTCTGAATTCCTCAGACTCCCTCTACTTGGAGCCCACACTCTGATCACCTGCTAATTGTGTGGTTCTGTGACATCTGTCCAGTCACACTGCCTAGTCCAGGTGTCATCACTGCCTCTGCCCAACTCTGGCTGCCTTACTGGGGACAAAACTCTTGAATGCATCTCAGACCCTCTTTCCCACGTGTATCACATGCTAGTGAACAGCACAGCTGATCCACTTCCACACTCTCTAAACAGATGTCACTTCCTAAATATCTCTCGACTTCATCTTTTTTTCACACTCCACTGTCACTACCCTAGCCCAAGCCACCAGTATCTCTTTGGGAACAACTAATTGGCCAACCCTCATCCACTTGTGCTTATGCCCAACCTAGCCGGGTGGATCTTTTAAAAGCTCACGTGTGTTCGTTTCCTTGGGGCTACCATAACAAAGCCCCACAAACTGAGTGGCTTAAAACAATAGAAATTTATCATCTCACAGTTCTGGAGACCAGAAGTCTGAAATCAAGGTATCAGCAGGGCCACGCTCCCTCCGCAGGCTCTGGGTGAGGCTGCTTCTTTGCCTCTTGTAGCTGTGGTGTTTGCTGGCCATCCTGGGTGCTCCTGGCTTGCAGCTGTATCACCCCAACCTCTGTCTTTGTTGTCACATGGCTGTCTGCTCCCTTTGTGTCCCCTTCTTACAAGGACATCAGTCATATTAGATTAGGGACCCACCCCACTCCAGTATAACCTCATTTTAACTAATTACATCTGCAATGACCCTATTTCCAAATAGGTGGTAGGGGTTAGGACTTCAACCTATCTTTTAGGGGGACACAGCTCCATGTGTGACACCAAGCATGTGGCTCCCGTCTCTTCTCACTCCCACCCCCTGAGTCTGTTATTGGCTTCCACTTGTTCTTAGAATAAAGACAAATGTCCTTCCTGTGGCCTTGAAGGCCCTGTGTGATCTGCCTCCTCCAGACTTCTCCAGCCTCATCTCACACCATCCTTCCACCTGAGAGTCCCTCTAGTCCCTTGAATTTGTCACCCTCTCTCTGGCCATGGCCATGGAATGTACTGTTTCTTTGCCTGGAATACTCTTCTTCCTCCCTGCACAGGCATCTCATATACAC